AACCCTGAACCCAGAGAGCCCAAGACCCTTTCTTAAGGAACGCTCCTAAAATCCTACTAACAAGCCTTACAGGGTTCGATCTCTAGTTACGTCTGCTCTTTAAGGCTTAGGGCTTAGGGGTAACATCTTCATCATGACCTAAGGAATAATACTTCCAATTATTCAAGCGTCCACAACCCTAACTCAAAACAGAAATACTTTAGCCCTGAGGAATCTGTTCAGCTCTTATCCTTCGTTTCGGCGGGCTTTCTGAAACCTTTAGGGTTTAGGCTCTAGGATTTAGGGTTCAGGGTTAGGATTTAAGGTTTAGGGTCTAGGATTTAGGATTCAGGGTTTAGGGTTCAAGGTTCGTGCTTCTTAAACTCCTTAAGCCCTACACCCGTTAGCCCTAGATTAAAGCACGAAGCTCTCGACCCGAAACCTCGAACTCCCGAACCCTAAGGCCTAAAACCTTTGACTCTAAGGTCTCAAACTTCCCTACACCCTAATGCCCCAAACAACCGAGGCCACGGCTGAGCCCGAGAGCGATAACGAGCAAATGCCCCGGCTGTGTATTCCGCTCGCCCTCGCGCATGAGAAAGTAATACCTGGCAGTGTGTAGGTTTTAGGGCTTTGGGGCTTTGGTAGGCATGCTTGGGGATTCCAGGCGTCACAGGGCTTTAGCGAGATAGTTGGCATAGAGCCTGGAACTTGTCGGGCATCAGGGTGTTTGGAGCTCGTACGGGGTCGCTGGGGTTCAGAAAAAGCATGTATACATACATACATGTATACTTTTATACATATATACATATATACCTTTACACACATATACGTATATATGGATATTATACATGTTTGGAAGGACCCTGTAAAGGAAGCCACAACTCAAGAAAGGACCAAACTACAAAAGTACCCAACAGCCGTATAGTCTACAGTCTACATTGCTTTTATGTGCGCGGGGGTAGCCGACAGGGATTATATTACCCTAAGCCCTAGATCCTCAACATTAGATACTAGCCGAAAAGGTTAAAGGGCTGCGATCTCGCAGTGCAGGTGTAAAGCTTTGTGCTTGGGCGTGCATGGTTTCGGGTCGAAGCGTGTGTTTAAGCTTGAGGGCTTAGGTTTAGGGTTTAAGTTAAAACCCTCAACACTAAACTCTAAACCCTGAACCCTAAACCTTCTCTTTCTAATGTATATTTAAATGTTGAAGCCATTCGCGGTCAATTTAGCACCGTTCTCGCCGCAATCGCGATCAATCGAACACCGTCCTCGCCGCAATCGCGGTCAATCAGCACCGTTCTGGCCGCAATCGCCTTCAATCGGCACCGCCGTAATCGCAGTTAATCGGCACCGTTCTACGGTCAATCGCCACAGTTCTCGCAGCAATCTTGGCAAATCAGCACAATTCTCGCCGCAATCGCCTGCAATCGGCAGCGTTCTGGCCACAATCGCCTGCACTCGGCACCGTTCTCGCCGCAATCGCCTTCAATCGGCACCGTTCTGCGGTCATTCGGAACCGTTCTACGGCCAATCGGCACCGTTCTCGCCGCAATCGCGGTCAATCAGCACCGTTCTCGCCGCAATCGCGGTCAATCGGCACCGTTCTGGCGGCAATCGCCTGCAATCGGCACCGTTCTGGCGGCAATCGCCTGCAATCGGCACCGTTCTGGCCGTTCTCACCGCAATAGCGGTCAATCGGCACCGTTCTCGCCGCAATCGCGGTCAATCGGCACCGTTCTCGCAGCAATCGCGGTCAATCAGCACCGTTCTCGCCGCAATCGACTGCCATCGGCACCGTTCTGGCCGCAATCGCCTGCAATCAGCACCGTTCTCGCTACAATCGCGGTCAATCCGCACCGTTCTGGCAGCAATCGCCTGCAATCGGCACCGTTCTCGCAGCAATCGCGGTCAATCGGCACCGTTCTCGCAGCAATCGCGGTCAATCAGCACCGTTCTCGCAATCGCGGTCGATCGGCACCGTTCTGAATCGGCGCCGTTCTCGCTGCTATAGCGGTCAATCGGCATCGTTCTCGCCGCAATTCGCACTTTCTTGTCGGCTCTGGGCTGGCCTTTTAATAAAGTCTAGGATTTAAGGCTCTGGGCTGGCCTTTATAGGATTTAAGGCTCGGGGCTGGCCTTTAGGGTTTAGGATTTCGGGGTGTGGGCCGGCCTTGAGGATTTAGGATCTAGGGCTTTGGGCTGGCTTTAGGGTTTAGGATTTAGGGCTCTGAGATGGCCTTCAGGATCCTAAACCCTAAACCCTAAACCCTAAACCCTAAACCCCTGAACCCTAAACCCTTTGGAACCCGGAGCCCCTCCTGAACCCCAAACCCTAATGTAGGGGCCTTAATTAGGATCCTCAACCCTAAA